AATCACCAGTTGAATCCCAGCGCCTTTGTTGTATACAATTTAGCTTTGATTCTTGATATGTTTCATTCAAGAGACAGAGACAAGACGGGTAAAAGCACTGATAGGGACCGATTATGAAACTTGGTTCTTTTCTTGCTTACGACCGCATCCCAGCGAAGTTTGCGATTCAGTGAAGGATCACGGCTTCTCTCTGCTTAGATATCATTCATGCCAACAATCCGCTCCGATCCGACCGCTAACAATCTCGGATTCTCATTTAATGATGTATAGAGGAAAGGAGCTGCGTTCATAAAAACATTTGATAATGGTATTATTATGACTCGACAACATTTGTAAGTACCATTCAAGGCATTGAGTGCCTACCACTTAAATCTTCAATGGGTCATTATTTTTAACATCAACAGCGACAGATCAAGACAGACAGATTTTAATCAAAGGCATAGGCATCGGCACATTTTGAATATCGTTTGCATGCCCTATTGTTCCTCTATCGAGCTTCATGTTCCGGAAAGCATCATTCAGTGTTTTCAGCAAAGGAGTGTGCTGTCTGCCGTTCATCACAACTCGATTATAAAAAGGAGGGGGCCCGGCATAGGCCGGGCGTCCGACTGTCTATATATAGACCGGTAATTTTGTGTGTCTGTTTGTATACCCGTTTGTGTGTCCTTTCTCACGTAGGCACAACGAAGAGTGCGAATGTCAAGTGAGCGTGGTGGGGAAACAGTTATCAAATGGGAAGTGAACCGATACTGTTCATTCAAGCGAACAGGATGCACGTGGCTGAGTCTCTTCTGCTTAGCCCTATTCGAAAGGACTTATTGCGAGACAGGTGACCGGAGATGAGAGCTGGGCTGGGTGCTTCACGTGAACAATACACGTAAGCGCCATTGGGTTACGCGGGAAGAGAAGCCACTTACGAACCTAAAGCAGTCCTCCATAAGAAAAAGGTTTTGTTGTGTTGTTGATGGGATTGCAGTGGAATGATCTCCTGGGAGCTGCTTGACAGGACAGCGGCACTACAGTGACAGCCACAGTCGACGCTAACCAGCTGCAAAATGTGGCCGATGTAATGCAAGAGCTACGTCCCAAAAGACTCAATGTCTTCCAACTTCACGATAACGCACGCTCGCATGTGGGCAACAAAGCGAGTCAAAAAATTATGAAACTCGGATGGGAAGTACTGCCGCGTCCGGCCTATTCACCGGATCTAGGGCTTTCTGATTATCACCTATTCAGAGCACTGAAGAATCATCTAAGCGGCCAATAATTTGATGATCTTCGTGAACTCGGAATCCAAATCGACCACTTTTTTGTCGTAGCCACCGGAATTCTGGAATAGAGGGATCGAGAAGCTACCCGAAAGATAGGCGCGGGTCCTAGATAGTAGTAGTGATTATATTATAGATTGAAGGTTTCGATTAACAAAGAAATGTAAAATTGAAAATCTTGTCCAGAGTGTTGCAAGTCTTGTCTTCCAACCTAATAAAAAAATGGTTGACTCACAGCCCATGCTTCTTCGATGTTCTTCCTCCAAGACAGAGGAAGGGCAAAGGTAACAAACAAGTACTCGTACGTAGTAGCCGAGTTCACAAGGAAAAGCGTAACCAGCAAGTGAACTGTCCCTCTCTCGAATGTCTCTCAAAATCTAATGTCGCGTTTTCGACTCAAAAATTGGCTTGAAGAGGGAGTAGCAAGAGCTCGAAACTCTTTCAAAGGCTCACGCCCGTCAAAGACGCCCAGTAAGGGGCGTGCCCACTAGACTCCTGGGACAGCGCAGACTCTCTGCTTGACCGCTTGGGCTAGTCGTGCCAGGATTCTTTAAATCTCGGCAGTACAGAGCTGTCCTCCCGAAGTGGTGAAAATCTAGGGATTCTTCTGATCCTGGTTTTTATTGAGTGCTTTGCTCATTTCCTACGGTGGTGTAAAATAGCGAATCCGCACTTTATCGATGACTACGTGGCCGTGAGCAACTCATCGTTAACCATTCCTACTCCTTGAGTTGCTCTTTCCTATAGCCATAACATCCCCGGAACCACTTATGCACATTCCAGCGTTGTTCATGCAAACTCTGCTCTTTCACTTAAAAACACAAGATCCGACCCCCTTGACATTTCTTGTCATTTCAAGAAATGGGAACGACTTGAAAAGAGTTCTATTTTAGCGTCGTGCCCTGAAGAAACAAGTCCCTCTTCTCTTCTTGGCTCCTTGATTCCTCGAATTGTGAATAGAACAATACAAAGCATGCCAACAACACGAGTAAATTGAGCGGAAACCATTAAATGCCTATTCACCTGTTGAGTGAGTGGATTCTTTGCGACTAAGGCTCCTCGTTTGACGTGCACCCCTCTGGTCAATCTCCAATAACCACTCTATCCCAGAACAACTTCACACTGCTTGGATGCCTATTGATACAAATTTTCAGTGCATATCCGTTCCCTTTCGAATACTAGATGGTTTTCCAACTTCGGTAATTGCATCGCCCTGCGGATTCATGGAACAATAGTGTCTTTTCGTAAGAGGTTACTCTTTACTCTCAGCCCTAAATGCGTCCCCATGTTCCTCATCGAAAAGTGGTAAGCTTGATGANACTAGCCGCCATGCTAAAGACTATCTTCTTTTTTGACCACGTCCTTCCACTAGCTCAGCATTCTAGCACTAGATGAGCAATCTGGTAAAACACAAGACTGAGCTTCCCATGACGCTTGTAGTGGCGATTTTGTGACCCTTCTTCCGAAAAACCAATATTTCAAACGTGTTGCCCACACTACGAACCACGCTCTCGTTGTACAAACCATAAACTCAGCTCCATTCTGGAAGTCATCTCGCTCTAGGAGCAATTTTTTCGAGAACAACTAATAAGAATAACATTTATACATGAATTTAGTGAACGGAACGAAAAACCAGTAGTTAGAGATCGTACTCTTCTTTAGTATGAGGACATCTACTGTAAGAAACTCTAAAAACAATGAGAAAATATCACAAAACGGGAAAACCCACTCCTAACTTCATATACATTTTGATAACTATGCGGTTGATTGGCTTGTTCTCATCGATATTTCATGTTGTTTTCTCGCATGAGGTTAATGCTCATGAAATTGATTTAATCATCAAGTTATGAAAAATAAAAGCAATCAACTTCAACTCTCTATGAGAACTAATTTTAAGATCATATCAGCAAAAGTGGAACACAAGCAGAACAAATGTAGTAAGTGGAGTTTTTTGGAAAATCAAATAATCTTTCAACCAAGAGCTCTGTGACCCATACGACATATTGCTGTAAAGATAAATGTCTACACATGTGGACGAAGGCAGTTACGACACATTCAAATAGGTTCGAATATCTTCAGAGACTTTTCTGTCGGCTCCGTTCTTCAGGATGTCAGCGATCGAATTGATCCGTATTTTGTAATCATTGGCTTGCTAGAAAAATACATCAAACAATTAACGAATCTTTGACATGACCTCAACATCTGAAATGACCAAAGTAGGGCAGATACGGTACATGAGGTGAGGTCCAGCGACCATTTTTGTCATCTTCAAAGGATGATTTTTAAGTGTGAGTCTACAGAATGAGTAACAAACGGCGCTACCGGGGGCGTAAATGTAACAAGTTACGCGCTTTATGGAGAACTGAAAATCTGCCGCCGCCATAGTGCGGTTGGCGAAACGGAAGAAGACGCTCGCATAGAACGAAATCCAAAACAATAAATGATATCATTCTGTTTGCAACGTACTGCCTTCCAAAACCGTTGACAACACAAACGTCACTGTAGTTGCCTCGAGTAATCACAACGTACTAGTTACAAAAATTAACGGTTCAAGTAGGTAGCGGATAAGTACGCAAAACTCATAACTCAGAACCTCCCAAAAAACAGGAACGGAAGAAATCACTGTACCTCGACAATTTTGCGTTTTAGCCGAGCCACTTCAGCATCGCGTTCAGCCAACTGACGACGTAGTTCTTTTATTTCTACGGTGAGATCCAAATCGTGAACCAAACTTTGAAGACTTGGATGTGGAGACGTTTCTAGACATAATAGGACTTGGTTTGGCTATTTGGAAAAGCAAAAGGATGCGACCTAGTATATCAATTCACAAAAAAAAGAACATTTGTCCATCTGTTGTTACTACTGACAACTATCTGGATCATATAGGAACCTCGAACACACCATTAGATGTCAGATAACTGTCCAGCGAAGGCATCGCATCTGTTGACGTGTTGGGATCCACGGTGTTTCCGTCGGGTGATACCGAAACAGAAGTTCCCGATAAAGATGCAAGTGGCGAATCTTCACTTCTAAATCAACAAAGAATACTTCTTTGAATGCTAGATTGTTCTCACAAAAAAAAAACGACGCCAAGCAACCAGCAGATTAATAAGAAATCACTGACTTTCCCAGACGCAAGCGACGGCGTCGCTTACAGTTGGAGAACAGTTTCTTCGTCTGCTCAACACCCAATGGATTGAGCAAGCCAACGTATTTCTCATTAGTAAGATGCGCTACTTTTACCCACATGTTGTGCCTTTCAGCATTCACTTGCGCTGACCTGAAAAACAAGAGATTCCCTCTGTGCTTGAACAATACCACATAAGAACGCGTAACACTGTGACATGCAATTGACAGGAAAAACCGACACCTGGCAAATTAATGAAGATACTTCTTAGAAAGGTGGTCTAATGCAAAGAAAAATTGAGCAACGCCTCCAAACTTTTGGAAAGGAAACCAACACACGTTGAATTTTTTTAAGAAAACTGCTTGGGCGCTCCTCTAATTTTCTGACGAATGAGACTATGAAACCCTATTCCTGCCGCTTTCGTATTCACTCGTCAAAAAAGTGAACACAAGTAAAAGAAAATCACCAATACTACTCTCACCTGGAGGAGCTATCAAAACACATCCTCTCCATATAATGCTCAGCCAGAGAAACAACATAATCATGACGCTCTTTCTTCAATTGATAAGTGGTGTCACAGAAAATCGGAGAGTGAGGAGTATCCGATTCGTTAGACTTGACAGCCGATAAGTCATAAGGCGATGAGCACAGTGATCTAGGAAACAGGAGTTATCTTTAACTGATTTTTTTCAAGTTGAAAATGTAACTAACGCGATAAAGCTCTGCAATTGCTGATCTGCATCGGTGGTGGAATTTGCGGGAGCCGCGGCCGTCATATGATCACTTTCGAGTCCACCATGCTCACTCATAACGGATTCACATCTTGACGGAGAACTTGAACTGTCTAATTCCCCTTCTGCTGGTGGATCGTCAAGTGACGTTTGGTTGACCAGCTTGCTGAAAGTGGTACAAACATGCAAGAAAACAGAGTCACAGGATCAGTATGCAGTTCCACCAAATTGATGGGGATAGAAAAGAATGTATTTGAACTGTTACATCTACAAGTCAGGGCGGAATCATTCGTTTATCTTCCAACTTACATGTTATCATAGCTGCCGTCGTCTTTCTTTTTATAATAGGTGAGAAGCTTCTTCACTTTTTCCACTGATAACACCTCTAATCGAGATCCAAAGGCCTCGTTCACCTTGAAAAAGCAATCTAGCAAAATTCAGTGTTTCTCACAAACAGTAGGTAAAGTGCCTTCAAGTGATGTTTTTATGATATTCAGTGTTTATTACAAACTGTAGATACAGTGCCTTCAAGGGCTATTTTAAAATTTCTTGAATGCAAGTGTGACGCGAAGACACCTTGAAAAATATCTTCGTTTCTACCTTTGCCAGATTCACACCTATCAAGTTCTTGAGCATCTCGGAGCGCACAAAATACTTTTCGCAATCTTTAAGCGCAATTATAAAGAGTTTTCTCGAAAATAACGGTAAATAAGTTCGCTCAAATGCAAAAGCGATCCTTAGCAACAAAAGGTAAACAACAAACAGTAACCAATGATCTCATACCTGCTGAGTGATTCGCTCCCACATTAGTGCACGCTCCAAATTCTTCTCCGCTTTTCTTGCAGTTGCTGAGCCCTACAAAAGTTCAAGTTCTACCGCTTTATGCGGATAACGTCAAATTACATTGTATATTATTGCTCAATGGATCACTTCACCTAAAAGTTCAGACATTAGGGCAAACGCTTGCTTTTGCATTTTAATAGCCAGTGACGAAATCCTTAAGTAAAGCAAGGATTCAAATTAGCCATTCCCTCTACTTTTAATTCCGATAAGAACATAACAATACGCGAAATTTCTCATACTGCCCTATAACGATTTGACTACATTTAAGCACTGCCTCCACATTAGGCACCTGTCTCCTTTATCATTTCAGGCCAACCCATAACAATCTAAATACTTGAGCCTGGACATTCCTTTGTTCATTCACATAAGTGGTAGATAGGTCGCTGCAAATTTATTGAAAAAAGAGTTGAAGTTGCAATCGTCTGCCCAAAGATGTCGAAGATTGCAGCCGTCTGTCAAAAGATGCCCAAAAATAGATCCTTGAATAGTGAGAATGATAATTACACTCACTAATAGCTGCTGTAGTAAGAACTTAGATATTGCCATGGCGCCGTAGTACTGGCATCAGTAAAATTGGACAGTGTCTAGTAATAACGAAGTGAAGATAAGGGAGAAATTAATCTTTGCTGAACAATCGAGAAATCTTCTGAATATCTTGTGACGATGTAAAAAAAATACTGCTAACTGGTAGCAAGCGTGCAGTTGCAAACACAGAAAGCATAGAGAAATAGTAAGTTTTTATCTGATGCATGCCCAGGANTCAGGGGGGGGGGGGGGGGGGGGGTCATGGGCTATCTCTGTAAATGTGTCTCATTATCTAATCAGTCCTACTCCCCAAACTATAACCTCTGAAGATCTTATCAAGCACTCTTTTTATCTAGCTGATTCACAACCGGTTCAAAATGGTGAGTCGATGAACTGGCATAGTCAATTTGAGAATAAAAATAAATAAAATTGATTACCGAAAAAGTCTAAAAAATAGAACCGCATTTCTCTGGAAACCTACCTACCATACCCTTCAAAAAGATAACACCTTAAACAACACTGAAAGGCAATCAGGGTTTCCTCCTATGCCAGGCTCTCTATTGGTGTATGGAGAGTTCTGGTGGCATTCATATTTAGCGGAATATAAAAGAACACCCATTAAATACTGTGTGATTCTATAAAAAAGGCGCCGAAATAGCAGGCATTTCAGAAAATTCCAGCACTACCGAACAGAGATTCACCTACACAGCTTTTATGTGATAAAATAAAAGAAAAGGAAACAGGAATAGAGAATAATAGAGAAGAAATCATCCTTTCATTATCATCCTTTTATCATTCTCATTTCTCATTAGAAATAATGAACTCGTAATAACAAGTATTAACAAGAATTTCGACCAAATTACTCAACACAGTGAGAAGAGCTTGCCACGTGCTCTTTGACGGAATATGTTTAGACATGATAAAACATGACTTGAGAAAATATAGCACAATCGTACCGAATTAAACAGGATCAAAGTTGGAGGGACTCCTATGTCAGATCATAAATCTTTTTTTTTTGGTTTTTGGAATATTCCTACTGTAACTTCCTTCTTAGGAAGCTTCTTTTTTTAAGCTTTTTATTAGCATTTCAAGTTTTTTAGCTTTTTTTTATTCGTCGATCAGCGTTTTTTTAGTAGATGTTATACTATATCATCTTTTGAAGGGCGCTTGTTGAAGAAACAATTGAATCTTAGGAAAATTGAATTTAGGAAAAAGAGCTCCCGAAGGATGCCAGATTTTTCATCGTAATTAAATATAAGATACTAGCTGAAGCCACTGTGGCACTTCCTTTCCCTCACTCGATTAGCTACTCCAGCTACGCCTTGATTGTAGTTGCCTAAGAGGAAAAAAGCTTATTGATAAGCGCAAAGAAGCAGCTACTTTCGATGGACGTTCACCTAATTCATAGCGAAGGGAGGTGCGTAGTCCTCTCATCAGCATTAAGGGACGTGATTGTAAAATTGAATTTGAAAAATCATGGCTCAGGACTCTAGCAGCCACATACATAGGTGAAATTAAGGGAGTAAATATAAGGGTTAATTATGTTCCAACTACAATCCAAATGAGATTTAAAATGTAGGCAGAAATCGATTAAGTCTGATTTAGAACTGAAACTGTGTACTCAAATCCTCTAAGATTTTTAACATTTTATGCACAGGAGGACTTCAACACTGAACCCATTACATAATCAGATATTATTTCTTTCGCTGGTCTCGGAAAGGGGTATGCTCCTACGATATTTGGGCATGTAATTGCCAAGTTATTCTGAGAAACACTCCAATACCATAAACGTGTAGTTGCAGCCCTTAGTTTTTCATTTTCTTTAAAACCAAAGCTTTTAACGTGAACACAACGGCTGTCGACGTCTGGACTTCTGCTTAGCTACAGATCTCTCTGGCATCTTTCATAGTCCACGACCGGTCGCGCGACCGNACCGATCGCGCGACTGGTCGCCGGTCGCTAGCGACTGGTCGCTCGACTGGTCGTTCGACTGATCGCGCGGGACCGTCCACGGCGGCACCCATAACTATCGCGGCCTCCTCGACCGATCGAGCGACCAGTCGCTAGCGACCGGTCGTGGACTATGAAAGATGCCTCTGTTCGATTTTCTGTTGACCAATTCACCAAGGTAATAAAACAGCCGTCGTACACGATGAGCAAATTGCCAATTCGCTTTTGCGCTTTGCGACGTTGCCACAAAGCATAGCCACGCGTATGCAAAAATTAGTAGATGTAAAGTTCGGGTCGGGATTTACATTGAAAAACTGTGCAGCTTCGCTTTCCATTTATCGTCTGCTACCACAATCACAAAGATTGATTATTTATTATTCAAAGGCTTCAGCGGTGACTCAGATAGAAAGCTCACTCCGAATTGCACAAGAAGACCTTTCAGATAATCAAAAATCGATACAGATTGAGTAGTGAATGTGGTTGTGGCAATCGATCGATAGTCTTAATCCAAAGGTGAAGATAAACACAATCTTGCATAAACCGCTCAGCTGCCGCCGCCTTAAAGTGGGACGCTTAGGATCCGAAATTTCCATCTCAATTTATTAAAGAGATAACTCTTGATCCTATCGTTCCGAAATGGAGTAAACATAGTATCCATAGAGCATTATTCACAATCAGTTAGTTCCATCTCAGTATTCTGTGTTGTAACCTTTGAAATAGCAGTAACCCAGGATGCGTGGTCATGTAATAAACATAACATAACATAACATTACATGCCCTATTGTAACCTCCAAGTCCTCGCTCGTAAATGTTCATTCTTCTACAACATTCTCGACAAATTCAATAAATTATCTAAAAACTTACAGCAAGTGATGGATGCTCTTTGAAAAGCCTAACGAGCATCTCCCCTCGTTCTCTTCGAAGTTCTTTTTCGCCATGGCCGTATTGATGCGTTCTAGGAGAGTAATCATTAGCTGGTAAGTGGAGAAATGTTCACACAATTAGTGAACGAATAGATGTTGAAAAAAGTTCGACTTGTGAAGGAACAGACTTGCTCGGGGTGAGAGGAGCAATGAATGAAAAAGCTTGTCATTATCAGTTTTAAGCAAGCTGGAGCAACGTCTTACAACAGTAATGGAGATTACAAGCTTGAAGGCTTCCAATCATTGGTATATTCATACAAAAAAAGCTCAAGAGCGTGTTCGAGTTAGGCGCTTTATTTACAACCTGGCTGCTTTTATATGAATTGTTCTTATCTTTCTGTTCCTGTCTGCGCTCTCTGTAAAACATATAGATCAATCTGCTACTGCAATCTCGCCCTACCAACTGTTTACATGTTTTGAGTGGCACAATGGCCCTTGGGTATTGCTCGGAATGTAGTTTCAAAATGCAAAAGTGGACAACAAGACAAAGACGGCCAAAATATGCGAGATTCAGAGCAAGGGCAAGTTTTAGTAGACTGTGCAATATATTTTGTGTTAGAGTGAGAGTAACGGAAGGTCCCAGAAGAATATCTTGAGGCGAAGGCTAATATAATAGACTACTCAACAAACTTTCGAGTTTTTCCCTTGTCGTCAACATGTGCGTTAACATTATCCAATCCAATGCCCAAGCAACGTAATCGCGCCAGTGCAAAGTCACGATCATTTCTGAAAAAAAAGCGAGATAGGAAACGTTCCCACTTTTTATGATGGAAGATTTTAGGCTTCAGGAAGTATGCAACATAAGACGAAATTGAATTTCAATTGATATGAAACGACAAGCGCTGTGAAGCTGGCTTTTGGCTGGTTTGTAAAAAACTTTTGTTAAGGTTCCGAATGGCCAGAGCATTAGTGATGCTTTCCCATTTCAATCGGTGTCATCAAACGCGCGCTTTGAAGTATGCTCAAGCGTGAGCAGATTTAATATATTACTTGTAACAGACCTTATCTCTATATGAGAGCCATACCATCAAAAACCATGGAAAATCTCCCATAAGAAAAACTTAGGAAAATGGAAAGGTGACATGGGGATGCAGAGGCTCCTTATATAGATGTAGAGGAAAAATTTCCAGAAAATCCAAGAAAAAATTTCAAGAATAGAATTCCAAACATGGCGGAAACAGTGAACTGTAAGCAACTTACTCGTTCAATCCGCTGGTTATGCAATACGCAGGATTTACTTCAGGAATTTGGGCATCATCGTCTTGAGCTCCAACAATCGCCAGTTTTTGTTCAGTTTCATGATCTCTGAGAAGAAAAAACTTGAAGTCTGTGTCTCAAGAAGCAGGTAAACTCACTCCTCAACATCCACTATGTCTGATTCTGTATCGTCCTTTGTTTTCTTTACGGCATCGTTATGATCTGGTAGTGACGACGAATCCCTTTTCATTGATACCATGAGGCATCCAACTACACTACGCCAAAGCGATCACTAAAAAATGGACAACTCGGAGTGAGAATGCTTTTACTAGTTCCTTATTTTCTAGCGAGAGTATTAGGTCTCTTCTTTGTCGAGTAACAAGTCATTGGATTCTTCTTATTAAATAAAAGTGACGTATAATAGCATAAAGTTGGTTCCATTCGCGCTCTGACGACAGATAGCTGCCTTCAAATGATGTAGTCTAACAAAGGAAATCCCTCGAAACTACATTCCAACCTTGTCGGCAGAGCAAAATAGGAAATTCAATACAAGTGCCGAGAAATCACGAAGAGTGAAGATGAAAACTTTTTCATATGAATATTATGGTACCAAGAAAAGGATAAGGCCACAAATGAAAGAGGAAATAATCGGTGTGATGAAAGAGTAGCGATAAAGCTGATGATTTTGAACAGTTGACCGCTTTTATGACTCTCGCAGAGAATAAGTGTAAGGTTTACAAACTCCAACTCTGTGCGGTTCAAGTTTCTACTCGGTCCTATGTTTTGCTCATTATATACGCACGATAGAAAAACGAATGGGCAAGTCGTAACAGTAATTGTAGCTGTAACTGCCGATGTTACGGTAGTTGGAGCCAGAGGCTGTCGAGAGGTGACACGAGCGCGCAATTTCGGTGATCTCGGCAGTCAATTGTGGAAACGATCGATGCGCCTCATTCAAATTGGACCTCTCCCATTTTTACTATTACATGATTACATTATTAATAGTAGTAGTAAGTATATTTAAGATTCTCACGATGGTTACATACAACATCCTCCATTCTATTACGTTAGCTATTGTTTATTTTAGTGGTAATTGCTTCATGATTAGATTTAATGTGGGATTTTCGGAGCAATCCAAATCCTCTCTAGTGCCAGCCACCTTTCTGCTTTTCCAAATGGACTTTTTCTTTGCCTTTGGAATTGGTGCCATTGTTTATTTGTTGTTTTTCTTCAAGATAGCTCGTTATATGTTTAAGAGTTCGTGTGAATGTTTCATAACTACTGCGATTTCATTGTTATCAATAGGCGGTGCTTTTTAAATTTGCTTCAGTTTTCCCCTCTCCTTGAAATCCCATGAGGCGCGTCGCTTAAATAACCCTTCCCAACTGGATTTTCTAGCAAAATTCGGACTATGCAGAGAGCCTGCTATCACAGATGTTATCAGAAATGCCAGGAACCAATCCGAAGTGGACAGCCCAACTGGAAGTAAAGTGGCGAAGATAAGATGTTTGAAGGCATCCCTTTTAATTTTTGTCACTGAAAGTGTCCAACAAAAAAGTCTGTTGAGAAGAATATTATGTCTAGAAATGGGAAGGAGATGAGGTTACGTTTGGAAATCAGAGCGACAACAAGCTTGGAACCACTGAAACATTTTACATCCACTCAGTTTAGTTTCTATGGTTGCACTCACAGTTTCTTATCGGGATGTATGAATTAGAGGATTAGTTGAGAAGTTCAAATTCGGAATACATCAGATTCAAGATCTGTTGTCAAGCTAGATGTTAATCTGGATTATTGTAGAAGTGGAAATTTAGATAACACGGATTCATTCGAATATTTCTTCAGTGATATTCGTGATTCCTTCCATACACGATTCCGTGATTCTCCTCACACGGTACGTATATGTGTCGGTGATGGATTACGCTCGTTTTTCGAAATTCCAGGATAATCAACGAATCAGGGAAATCGGAAATTGGGGAGTTATGTGTCAATCTCCGTTTCCCGGCATGGACCATCATGTCTAAAGGTATGGTCGAATTATTTCTATTGCCGATGCTTAAGGCGTTTTGGAATCTTTGAAATTTCAGAAAGTCGTTACCAGGTGTTAACACAAGGATTGGCGCTTTGATCACGTGCATCTCTCAAATGTTACAAAGTGACAGCTCCTGATTGAAAAACATGCAAGGATAGCCATGTTTCCAACTAGAAAAAGGTAAGAACAAGCTCAATGTTTCTTCAGTACTTGACGAGGAATAGCTGCCACATCCATATTCCTTCCCACACAACCTCCCTGCCCGCCCTCTTCTTCGTTTAAATCCCTAATCTTCTTACCCTGATATCGTTTTCCTTCGAAAAGATTCATGGGTCGGGTCTTTATTCGCACACCCAGCTGACGATGCGATGGCTCAATTCAATCACTTTGAAGTCAGGTTTGCTTTTTCGATAGTTTATCGCTTCTGAACACTAGTTTTCCACCAGATGCAATTTTCTGTGGAGACTTCGGCAACAAAAGGGACGATGCAAATAGCTAACCGTATTAGGTTCCCATTCTAAAATACAGTTTCCGCAAAATTTGAGGTGAGGGTCAATAAGAAGGGGTTCAATGTAGTTGATACTTCATTCACACTTACACGTGGTTCATTTATGCCTTGCTTTATTTAACTTCTTCGCGTGTTTCTTCGGCATCCCTATTATATGTTGGGTTCCACATAAGGTATACCGAAGAAAGACGCGTCTCAGATTTCGCATGTGGTAGAGGGTGTTATGACCAACTTACATAGGTTTTTGTCCACCAGGTGTGTTCAGCATGCCTTCGCTGCTTGAGCAGTGTCTACGGCTTGCGCAAGCCCACTATCAAAGAGACAGCCCGGTCACCTGCTTCTATTTCCTTTTTGTCTCCCTTTAAGAAGATTCTGTTAAGAAGGATTGGAATCTTGGTAAAACCTAGCATAATGTTTTTGGTCTTATCCAATCCTTAATTTTATTCTCTGCCTCATCTAGCTGTATTGGTGTGTGTAACTCTGATGATATAACTGATTCTATGGTGCCTTTCCCTTGAGTCTGCTGAAAGTCCCAGTTCTACTCCACAGACTGATATTTTTGTCATGGTATAGTTCGTCCTATGCATGCATCAGAAATGAATAATGAATAATTCATATTGCGAAGAGAATCTTGTTTCTAAGTACGGGAAGTATTCACCTTTAAAAGATACTTTTCCCCAAAAAGAAGTCATTTCAGGAACTCAATCAGTGAAGATGACAAGGAAAGAAAAAAGGTTCAGATTAAAGTGGAGTTAAATAGCCAAGTGTAAAGTTAATTTGATCAAAGGTGAGTTGTTTTTTGTTCACTTCAGTGCCTTTTAAACTGCATTCACTGTAGAAGGAAAAAAGTAACCTCGCGGGAATCCTTTTTAAAGCAAAAAGCGCCGAAGCAGTATCAGCTAGTAGTCTTAAATGCAAGTGTTGCAAGATTTCGCTCGGGATGGGATCCAATCCAGTTCACTGCTGCTTCAAGGAGCTCTTTCTTAAACATTCGTGTAACGACGACGTCAAAATAGGCTCTTTTCCGGTAGCTAATGAGTTCTGCTTATTCATTGGTTGGAATAATTGATAGTAGAACTTGCCACTCGAGCCTTCCCAGGTAGGTGTTGATGGGGTCATTCCGTATCCAGGATCGACTGAGCACGAGCCGATCAGCAGATCCAAGTTATGGGGATGATCATTAGATCCGATTCTTGTAGAGTGCAGTGGCAAGAAATCTACAGTTCATCGCAATGGTAATAAGCTCCCACCTGACCGTCTCTTTCTCTGCTTGAAGACGAAATGGTTTTTCCCTTGTGGACTCTTCACCTCGGAAATTGGATCTATTGGCCACCCTAGCTATCAAAGATTTGCAATACATCCGCTACTTTCCAAATCACTTCCGGTTTTCCATGGTAGTGAGCATCATAAAAAGGAGCAGAAACGAGAAGAAATCACGAGCCTTCACATCAGTATAATAAGTTTACGCAACGAACAAGGAAACAAAAAACTGTCGAAGAGAAGGTGTCGTGGGATAATAACCAAACACTTTGGTTTCGAGAGAACTCAATCAACGTGACGCCTAAGTGGTTACTGTGGGATTTCTCTAGGGATTTATGGTCAATTGAAGAACGTGCGCCTGTAGGAACGAAGTCATCTGGCAAATTTCTGTTACGATCATTAAATATTCGGTTGAGTTGGTATGAACTGGAGTTCCATAATTCAGGAATATATAGAAATATTTGAAAATGCGAAGCTCGGTATTGAGCATTGAGTTTGGGAAGACTAGCTGTTGGTCGTCCGTGGAAATGGAATAAGCCAAAAAGAGGTGCGGATCGAAGACTCCATGACAACTGGAAGGAGTTCTCTTCTGAAATGGAGGCGAACAATATTTGGCACGACTAAAGGGGCAGAGCGCCGGATAAATAGAGCCGGAGCAGCTCTAACGATGGTTACCCGACGATAGAACACAAGCTCCCTGGAGGCAGCATACTCTTATCGACGAGATCGTGGTCAAAGACGCAGAGCGACGAGGAGCCTCAGCAGCTTAGAAAACACCTCGGGCTCCGCTGGTCGACTCATGCTCAACGAACCAGCTATTCGCTAATGGGAAATGGCGTCGTTGAACCGGAGCAAATAGAAGAAATTGTAAAAGTAATCTGGGTTCTGGCTTCAGCTGAACATAGATGAGGGATATGCGAAGTCGGGAACTACCTGCAGGAATAGGTCCTTTTACTAAGGCTTCGTTTCATAGAGAAATCTGGAGAGCAAAATCCAAGGTTCTGACTAATTCAACGATGATACACTACTCGAATTTGAAAGCCTCGCCCTACCAAAGCTGATTTTGAGGGGTTTTTTGAACTAATGTTAACGTCATTGTTTTCTAGTGATTCGGAACTTCAATCAAGCAAAGAAATGCTTGCTCTGTCAATTGTTAGGGGGAACAACTGCATCACTTCCTTCTCTCATTCATAAAGTAGAGAGTGATGTATGAAGTGTCTCAGAAAAACCGATTGATTGTCATGTATGAAATGATTTTTCCCTTTAAATTTTTGATTTTTGTTTTGGAAACAGTTGCTAGCCCCTGAATGAGGAGAATAGACCATGAAAAGTTGGTAGGTTCAGGTAGAATCCAATTAAAAATTGAGCAAATGGAGTTTACTAGTAGCTTCTGACGCTTCCATGACTAGGCGAGTCAACCAGCATTACGTGCTCGTCCATTATTAATTCTGCCCATTCAAATGGTTACATCACCATGCACGCATACGTATGCATGCACCACTCTAAAAGGTTCTATTTAGGAGGATAAGAATTCTGGGGTATGACCAAATCTGACAGTGCGTTTCCCATAATTTTTTTCAAGCAAAATTCTTTTTTGGGCATAAGTTGCAAGCTTTGCTTAACTCTTTTCCTTTTACCACTTTGTTCATGAGGAACACGGACGAGAATTGCCCTGCTTAAGGTCTTCTTTCCTAATGTTTAATTAGCCCAATGTTCACTACNGGTTCAGGTAGAATCCAATTAAAAATTGAGCAAATGGAGTTTACTAGTAGCTTCTGACGCTTCCATGACTAGGCGAGTCAACCAGCATTTACGTGCTCGTCCATTATTAATTCTGCCCATTCAAATGGTTACATCACCATGCACGCATACGTATGCATGCACCACTCTAAAAGGTTCTATTTAGGAGGATAAGACTGCTGGGGTATGACCAAATCTGACAGTGCGTTTCCCATAATTTTTTCCAAGCAAAATTGTTTTTTGGGTATAAGTTGCAAGCTTTGCTTAACTCTTTTCCTTTTACCACTTTGTTCATGAGGAACACGGACGAGAATTGCCCTGCTTAAGGTCTTCTTTCCTAATGTTTAATTAGCCCAATGTTCACTACGTGCAAGCCAGCCGCGCTGCTCGCTTCGTGCGCCATCATCGTAGGAGCCAAACAGTTGGGTGCCATTCACCCTTGAAACACCTTTTTCGTACCTTAGAATTTAGTTTTCAAACCGTTGTCCTCAGCTACCAAGTTATGAAAAGCGTGGCTCCGAAAAACGGGAAGATGTTCGAACTCTTTGAAGATGGATGGCGCACTCTCGACTTTCGAGTCTAACAGAAGTCGTGCTTGTGTTCTGAAGTTCAATCTACCTCCGTAGACAGATTTCAACAAAGTTCAGCTCAACTTGCAGAAAAAGGAGTTCTTGAAGGGTTAATAACGACGATGCTGCTCCATCGTGGTAGCCTCGTTATACTGTTTTTCGTAACTGTAGCCTGTCCGTCCGTTTTGACTCTTAAGAGAGAGGAGTATGGCCCTCTAGGTTTTTATGGCAGGTAGTGCAGACAGACATTTCCGAAGTTTCTTGCCTTCTGGATAAATATCAAATCCGGATATGATAACTGAGTGACGGAAATGTGCAACATTTTCATACCATTATCCCATTGGACTCTTTATTACTTACAGTTTAAATGTCTCTAATGGAAATTTAGCATTGGAGCCCGTTGCAATCGTAAGCGTAACCGAGGCGTTCCATTTCGCATTCCACCCATCCGGTCTATAAACATTATATCATTAGTATGAATAACTCTAAATAGTTGTTTACAAACAGATGGCTTCTCCTGGACAAAGACGACCCAAAAAATGGATCGAATTTGCTCTTTTGCTTGAAACTTGCTCTTATGAGGCAAAGCGGCAAGGGAGTCATAGGTGAAGCAGTGAAATAGTGTCAGAGTCCCTGTCTAACCGTCTCACCTTTTTTGAATGTTGGATATGTATGGGAGAAGAACGAAGAACGAGGGCGATGTTCCCGAGGAGATACAAGGATCATGCTTATGGTTAGGGTCAAGCATTGCGAAATCTGGCTCTATAGCTGTGACGATACAATTCGTAAGAGGATGCAGAAGTGTAGACTCTCTCACGGATCGGATCGTCGCGTTACACTCATATAACTGCACAACCTAGCAATGCGAAGCGTCTTAGGGTAGCGCATTCGAGCTCTTCCATCAATTTGTATCTCTTTTACCATGACCATTTAGAACTCTGTATAGGGAGAGGGATAAATCTGCTGCAAAAGGGTAGCCTAACCTACTGCTCGAACTGGAAGTGGCATTCAAAGAATTTCTTCAGGCCTACGAACAGTTCAGTCTGGGAAAAAGTAATCAGAAGTTTCTGTTGTGGCAGGGAAGCCTATAGTCAGCCAACTGTTCCAGGAAATGGTCGGCATCAATGGTTTGAGGGAATGCGATATGGGAGCTGCCCATGTGGCGAAGACATCCTTTCCCACCTTGGCTCCCAGTTCCTTCTGACTACATAGGTATGAAGCAATCTAATTTTTCCTTGTTGATTATATCGTGAAACCTTTACTTTTCGTNACTTAAAGCGCTGAGTCTTTTCCAATTGCTCTTGAAAAGAAATGAATTGACATACATAAATTGACTACCTGCATTCCGCATGCACTTGCAAAGATGTTTTCGAGGCAAAGGACAAGAGTTTGTGATGCCCTGAAATTGTGATATTTGTTCGTCTTCGACTCACACTACCTACCTTCCATCACTATGATGAGGGGTGCATATAAAGTTTTATGGTGACTCGTTCTTTGTAGTGAGAAAGCTGTATTAAGGCGATGAGAATTTCATTGAGTTTTTCCTTTCATCCACCTACATTCCCGTCCCTGGGGAACAGTGCGGGAGAGGTGTTGGTGGCCACGACTACTTCTTCTAGAGTAAGTAAAGCAGGGCCGTGGCTCAGACTGCGCTCTAAAGATAGGTTAATTGTTTTAATTTGGAAAAGCCATTTGCATTCAAACAGTTTCTTCTTGCTGTGAGAAGTGACACAATGCTAATACAGGAAGTGCAATAATTGAATTTCCACCAAAAAACGGGAGCACATACCCAATTTAGAATCGCGTGAATTTTCGTCAGTCTTTTGATTGTTTAACTGAATTATATTTTTACAAGTAAGATGAGGCAATTGATTATACTGTTGTCATCAAAAACAACGGATGCTAAAGAAACTTACTGGCATAACATGTTGGGGTAGTTTTGAATGGTTTGCTGAAATTTGTAGAAGCATGCGTTATATGTATCGTCATGTGCTGTAACACCAACGATGCATGGAAGATTGTATTGGTACACTGGAAGAATAAAAATAACATCAAGTCATTCAGTTTATTAGTGAAGAATGCTGAGGCTTCCGTAAAATTAACAGTGGATTTGGAAAACTTTGTATTGACGTCCTTACGCTACTTCGTTAAGATTGTTCTCATGTTCATTACAATTTTTGTCTTCAATAATTCAATTCTTTCGATATATTGATTACTCTAATACAGCGGGTCACAGTAGGATTAGCAGAAAGAGATACTTTTTCTTGGATCAAAGGAGACGGAAGATGGCTGTACAAATTTCCTGGTCTGGTATCTTCTCCTCGAACGGCGTGTCGCGCTCGCTGCCCGCGACCGCGCGTTGTGAAGGGTAAGATTCGAATTCCCAGTGGAAGGATAAGCAGTAGCCGCGGAACCACTGCCGCGGGCCGTGGGAATTCGATGAGAAGTTCCGTTACCCCAAATTCCCTTGCAGTAGTTATGGAGACTTCGAGAAGCAGAGTGTGGAGACGGAGGGAGTTAAGTTCTTATGGTTTATTTACTGATGGTAAGCTTTGTCATACGCTGATTCTCCCCATTTCCTCTTCACAATCCTATGTCAACTTCTTCATATTCTTCTCTGATTGTGAGCTTACGATCCCGCCATTTTACTCACTAGTTGCGTTTTCTGGGCGGTTTAAAAGTTCACGATAATTTTGAGGTACCAGCTTTTATTCGAATAGCGGAAGTATAGATTGAGAATAGTTCATCGGTAGTAAAGAAAGCGAGAGAATTCGCCGATTCCGAGAAAAATATGGCTCCTCAAAAGTAGGGAAAATAGAGCTTGGACGAGATTGCCATGACGGCAATAACATGGAAGAGGTATTCGGACGAGATTTCAGTCGATGCAATTGCNAAGTTGTTTGAACTTCCTACATGGGTTCCCTTGTCATCGATGCAGCCTCTACAATGCTGGTGAAACTCGTCCGAGGATACACACGGGCCAACCTTTGAGCCTCTATAATCCCCTAACTAGGCCGTCTTCCGACCTAATAGTGCCAGATGTAGTATTCGCGGGGACCTCAAATTCATCATGTGGGGGAATCTCAGAAACCATTTTCATCGAGAAACCATTTTCATGGTGAACTGTGCCTTGAAGACTTTTCTTTCTATAGTGCTATGTTCTTGAACCATAATGTTACCTCGATGCTTAGTCGTTTATTTGAACATTGAATTTCTTCACGAAGTGTTTATGCTACTGGGAATGTGCACTTGCATAGTGGTACTCATAAATTACAACTTACCATCAAAGCCAGTACTGCACATAAATTCGAGGTGCTTGTAGAGATGTACATATGTGACGGCATTATTGAAATCGGTGCCGCCCTGTTCCAGTAGGTAGAATCGGTTCACACAAAATGGGTAGGAAGCTAATAGGAGTCCAGCATAATCGCGACGAGCACTGAAGCAATAAATTCACCACCGGATTTCTAGTATTTTGGAGACAAATTTTAGATTGAGGGGCTACAACAGCAAGACCTAGGATTTGCTATCTGTTAAGTTTGCAAACGAAATTGGGAAGTTTGAGCCTATCGTAACATTATAGAATGAACGGCAGGAAAGAAGTTGTCTTCCATGGGGAAGCTTCTATTTTCCGAACAGTTTAGTTTTTAGATAGAACGAGTGGTGTAAAGTATAAGATTTAGATAGCCTAGATGGGTTACGGAGAGCCTCTATATTCTTTATTTGTCATGGAACATCGTTGAGAACATAAAACCTCGGGAATAATTGTTTAGTACAACCCACTTGCAGACTTTCACCATGCCATCGGCTCCTGTGTTGATGACTTTGTTGACAGCATAGGCTAGCGATGAAGCGTTACGCCATGTAAAGTCTGGGTTTATGCCGAGTTCATTGTTGAATTTTTGCTGGAATTACTGTTTATCAAAGATTAGGTTAATAAATAAACCGCAATTTGTTACTTTTCAACATCTCGTAGTATGGGTCCGGAGCTCCCTTTAGAAAGAGCATCAACAAGATCGTAGCTTTTTGTAAAGTGGGCGCCCTACTTGTTGCCCTGGAAGAAGAGTCATCTCAAAGGACTCTTCTTTTGGGCAAAAAAAGTATGGGATGTCTCTTTGACATTTAGTAATCCCGGAACAATGTGCGGGGACCTTTCTGAGTATGTAATAATCAGTTTTCCTCTCTAAATTCTTATTCATCATTCCGGCATAGAGGAGATTATTATCTTAAAGGAGTGATTAGAAACGGGTCTACACATGCATATTCCCGATGGTCAACATATAGTTGATTCGAACTCGAGCTTTCATTTCGGTATTAGAAATCTTCAGACACATAATTCTGGGTTACTCGAAGACGATGTATCCTATGAAATGTAAAAGTTGTGGTAGAATTAAGCTAATTACGTGAACGGTTCCGAAGGCTCCGAAACCCTTCCCCTAGTCGTAATCGTTAGGAAAAAAGAGGCCATTAGTATTTACTTAACAATAATCGCGAGCCACTTCCAGCAGTGCTTCCATTAGGTACAGAGTAGGAGCGCGAAAATGCGATGCTGAAGCTCAATGGAACCCTACTAGAACCCTACGAGTAGCCTCGTTATGAGACCTCCGCCAACGAGTGTGACGTACAGCGAGTAATTTCAAGGAGATGTACAAGTGTTCTACACATATGTGAATTACAAGTAATCGAATTCCCCAAAATATACTGGCATAAGATCCCCTTGACCTGGAATAGAAATTCTCACATCATCATAAACTCCTCTATTTCAAATTTCTAACTAAAATTCGAAAATGGTAGAATTTTCGCAGTTTGATTAAGTCAACCTCTGAAAAATTACCTGGGCTTGGTTTAGGAGATTGGAGTCACATGCACTGTATATGTCATCGTTGGATGGTTTGAAGAAGACCTGCTTTACGATGGCTTCAGGAAGTCCCAATTCGGAAAATACGGGCAAAGGACCATCGAAAGCCACAGCAGCGACGATGAGCGGTGCCAGTAGAAGTGTGGTGGGCATATTTCCTATTTTATTTTAGTATTTGATTGACGTATTTGCGGAAGCTCTAAGTGAAAAAAAAANAAAAAAAAACTGTGAAGTGATGATACGCAAGAGGCATCTGTTGTTTTATTCAATCTCAACATGTAGGAAATCAAAGAAAATAAGGTTTGTGCGGAGTTTACACCTTCACTTATTTTGCGATTAGCGATTTTGTAATTGAAGTTGGTCAGTATTCTTGAAATTGATTAGATTAGCTTATTTTTATGAACCATGGAAAATGGAGGCTTCCAAAATCAAGGAGACCTGGAGGGCATTAGATCTAGAGCAGTTCTGAAATCGTGTGCTATAAATCAGTAGAATTTGAGGTAGTGGAAACTAAAAGTTTTTGAGCAGTTCAAGACATGATTATCCCATTGATATGTACATTCCCAATAGTGTACTCATGAATTGTCGTTCATTGATGCGAGCGGTCGCGGTGCGGCTATGTTACATAGGGCAATCAGTGCTGGTACTGGAGTAGGTCAAACAGAATGAAGAAATAACGAAGAGACTAAGTTTCAGATTTTTTTTTATTAGACGTTAAGGTGCCACCGCCCCAGCCCCGGGAGTTCGGAGGCGCACTTAGAGAGGCTATCCTTAATCGGAAAATGCATGTTCAAGAAAACGGAAATGAAGCGGGTTATAGAATGGTAGTGTCATTCATTGAACTAGAACAAGACAATTCGGGGAATAAATCAATCAAATAGCCTGCAACCTGCTAGGAAGCTCGAAGCTGATAAAGTTTACAACCCTGACTGGACGACGTTTTCGACTAACTGCTACGAATAATCAATCAGAAAAATGTTTATTGATTGATAGAATCACTTCAAAATGTAATCAACAGGCAAGGCCCGGGCAATCGTAGGCGAATCCAAGACGTTCCTTTTCACATTGCACCCATCCACTCTTAAATCGGACATGATGAAATTATGCAGTATATAGGTGATGCAACAAGCACAACAAGCGTTGATAATTTCAACCTCTGAGAATATTTACCTGCGCTCCACAGTACTCAGTGAAGAAGTCCCTTACGCACAGCACGAACGTCTCACTGGCTCTGCAATATCAGCAAGTATATAATAGGGTTGTTCTCAGCACGATGGTGTTGGCTTCTATACAACCTCTACTCTTCAGTGATAGGTTTCATCCTTGTCCTTCATAGAATTACCATCCATGAAATATATTTTCTCTTATGACTTTACTAACGATAGATCCATTTGAAATGGCAAATGTGGTTGAAAAGGCTGACTCGTGACCGGAAGCTCTAGAATAACAACGAGTGCAGAGTTCTAGAGGATTTTTTAAACGAAACGTTGTCGAATTTTTGTTTTAGAATTCTTCTGAAGTCCGATCGCTATGATTTCAGAGCTTATGGGAGTTGTCTAGCTTTCAGATGGTCTCCGAGACAGCTTATTGGCTCATATTAGAGGCAACCTGGTAACTAAGTTAAGCCGAACTCTACGCTCGTAAATGAGTAGCCGTTATTACTATATGTATATTACCTTAAATTGAGAGGTCAAGTGGTCTTCTTTCTTTTGAGCAGCTTTTTCGTAACACATAGGAAGAATGAGGAGTATAGTGCCCTTGGGGATGGTCATTTTGAGTGCGCTATAACTATATGTGATGAAGTTTCCTTGAACTCGCAAGATCGGTACCAAGACTTCCTAAGCTTATGTTTTGACGAGATCACGCTCTTCCGAAAGGTATCAATCGCTAACTGGTTTTGAGGATGTCAATGTATCGTTGTAAATGACCCATTTTTCAAAATTTCACACACTTCTAGGCTTCGAATTTCTTCAGTGTTTGGAGAATAGACACAAATTGATTTGATTCCTTAGGGGTATGAAAGGGCGATCTCCTCAAAAGATCAGCTCGATAAAGTTTTCGTAACAACTTTGAAAATAGTTTATACTAGGTGTGTGCATTAATTTCCGCCGCCGAATTCCAAGGGCCGTTCCACGAACCATGTTAGAGGTTTACTCGTGAAACCCGTCATATTCTGTAAGATTGGGTAATGGCTACCTACTCAAGGGCAGATAGATCAGTTTTTCCCCAAAATCCCGTTGCTCTCAGACTGACTGGTCATGGAACGTAATGAACCATTTTCCCTGGAAGCCCTTCCCCTGCTGTTTGTTTTCAAGAAAACTGGCATTGAAGCCCACCGGATGCTTTTATGGAGGACAAGCCTCATCTGAACGAACCTGCTGAGATGGTTTTTCTTCAGTCGGGAGTTTGCAACGAAAGCGGAATGTTCATTGCCATAAAGTAATGCTGTGCGTGCATTACGGTGGTGGGACCAAAAGGGTGTTGTGTACTATGAGCTGCTGAGCCCGAACGAAACTGTTACTGCTGAGCTACGAACACCAACCTGACAGCTTGGAGGATGGTCTCACCAAAAAGCTCACCTTAATCGCAAGAAAATATCATGAGGTGCCGTTCCAACACCAACATGCCAGGCCCCATGTTGCGAAGAATGTCCTTAAAAAAATTGCAGTTGTTGGATGGGATCAGCTTATTCAGCCCGCATACTCTCTGGATCTTGCTCTTTCTGAATACCATCTGTTCCGATCCATGCAAGTCAGTTTGGCAGATACACGCTTTCGGAATGCCGAAGAAATGTGAAAATAGGTGGACGACTGGATTGCCTCAAAAGATGAAGACTTTTTTAGACGCGGAATCAACAAGTTATCAGAAAGATGGCAAGTAGTGTAGCTAACGATGGGCAACACATTGGTTGATACACATTTGGTTTTAATTTTGTAATAAATGTTTTTGCACGCAAAAAACGGCGGAAATTAATGCACACACCTAATAAATATTATAGGGAGGTTGCTCGAGAAAGCCCAGCGCGAAATCTATAAAGCTTAGCTAGCGAACTCGTTTTGCAGTTATTGGTAACGTAAATTCATCTTTGATGACGGTCAGATACGATGCGGGAGTGCATAATCGGAGTAGCGTTACGAAAGAAAGTGTGCTGGATTGTTGCTATGAACAACACTATCTCACAGAGCCTTGAAATAACGGCTGGAATGAGGAACACTTCTAGATCCAAGACTGTGAACTCTCAGAAGTAAATAATAAAACCTTGCATTAGACGGTTCATGTGATGTTCGATTCCCTTAATTGACTGGACCGGTTCATGTGACTATCGATCCCCTTAATAAGGTTTTGAACTCATAAGCTTTGCAAGTGTATGTACGGTGAGTTTTAAAGTTCGAGCCTTACTCGCAATATCGGTACGGGTTCTGTTTGACAATTTGTTGGAATTTGTAGAAGCAGGCTTGGTAGAGGGTTCCACCTTCTTGTTCGGCATTGACAATACACGGGAGGTTAAACTGAAACACTAAATGGAACAGAATTGATATCTCATCTGTGTGTAATTCGTTGGAATGGCGACTAGCTGTACTCACCGTCGAATCCAGTGCTGCAGAGAAATTCAAGGTGTTTGTAGGTGTGCACGTAGGTGACGGCATCGTCGAAGGGAGTGGCATCGCGATTCAACAGATAAAAACGATTCACACAGAACGGATACGTGGCCCCAAGTTTTTGAGCATACTGTTGTCGAGCACTAAAATTTTGGATGAATGCCCATCGGATCTATAAGGGCTCTGGATAGCTTTCACGGAACTTTCAAATGGGACAACTCACCTGCAGACCTTAACAAAACTGTCGACGCCCACATTGATAAGGTTATGAACCTGCTCGCTGAGTGCGGTGGCGTTTTTCCAAGTCAGGCTAGGATCGATTCCAAGTTGGGTGTTGAAATTTATCTGGAATTGGACTTTTATAATTAGAATCGTTGTCTTCAATCAAAGCGGGCATGTTGGAGTATGGGCAAGATTACTTTCATTCTGACCGCTACGATATCTCTGTCAGTCTCTTTACATAGCCTTCTGTCATGTGTACTATGGAAGAGAGGTCCGTTAACAGTGATCGGCAGCAGTCTAGGAATTTTGCCCATGCGTTCAACAAGGTCTGCGCTTTCAACGTCGATGCTAACCTGAGCACTATCGAATATATCGTCTAGGCATCCTTCGTAGTCATAGTTTGCCGGTGGCAGCTGAAGTGCTTTGAAAAGGTTTTTCGAAAAGAGTCGAACTGAGGAAGCGTGGCTGCTGAGTACACAAGCTAGTGTATAAATAAGAGCCAGCGAACTCTTTCCCATCATTGAACTTCCTGGAAAGTGGTTCATCTCGGAGCTATCACTCAACGGCAAGACATTCACTGATACTGTAGTAGGTTATAGTGGCAGTACGGTTCGCGGTGGATTGAGCATGTGGCGTGTCCAATGCAAACTGTAGGTTTAGCGGTAAATACTAAGCGAACCATCCTGTGAACGATATCGTGATATTGTCCGACCACGAAAAATACGATTTGCGCTATTAGCTCCGTTGCACTAAAGCACTTTCCGAGTGTCGAAGATCAATGTCAGGGTTTCTTGAGAACTTGGAAATTTTGTTTAATTTGTTTGCTCGACTTTTAAGGGTCTAAAACGGAAGCTAAGCTTTTTAAACAGGGACTTCAGTAGATGCCTTCTCAACTCGGAATAATGTCTTTGAATCAATTTTAGACAAAAAGGAATTCACATCGAAACGGATTAAGGCTTTGAAATATAATAGTAGAGGATGAAGCAGTCAAAGCGCACGATTAACAAGGCCCGGTAGAGTGGGGGGGNGGGGGGGAGTATGTAGTGAGGGAAGTTAGCGGTGTATGGAGCAACCAGTCATACAGCCATGGCGTCATTGGCTTTCCGAACAGCTTGATCAGTAAGAATGGAGATATTCAATGTCGTCCACGATCGTCCGATCTAAGGTTCGGCAATTACTTTCTATGAGGACATCTTAAGTTTAAGGTTTTCGAGGCTCATCCAACTACCTTACAGAATTTGAAAGTTCGGATTGATTAAAGACACAGTTTACGATAAAAACAGCTTATGATATCTAGGATAATATATGGCCCTCGTATACCAATATGTGGCCATGTCAGGTCGGAAAACGGGTTAGATAGGGCGTTATAAAGGCTCTAAGATTGCCCCGTGAGTATGAGGGGCGACTTTCAAAGGCATTGTAGAGGTTGCACTATTGGCAAGGGAACCCATTTAGAAAGTTCAAGCAGTTTGTGACGACTAATAGCGACAGTGAAAGGCAGTACTATACAGTTGTGGCTTGATGTATTAGGTGTGTGCATTAATTTCCGCCGTTTTTTTTGCGGGCAAAAACATATTTATTACAAAATTGGAACCAAATCCACACCAACCAATGTATTGCCCATCGTTAGCTACAACTTCTTGCCATCTTTCTGGTAACTTGTTTCCGGGTCTAAAAAATTCTTCAGCTCTTGAGGCAATCCTGTTATCCACCCAATTTCGCACTTCTTCGGCATTCTGGAAGCGTGGATCTGCCATACTGACTTGCATGGACCGGAATAGGTGGTAATCAGAAAGAGTGAGATCAGGAGAGTATGTGGGCTGAACAAGCTAATCCCACCCAAGAACTGCAATTTTTTGTGAGGACATTCTTCGCAACATGTCCGTGGTAGAACAGCACCTCAAGATATTTTCTTGCGATTAACGGCCGCTTTTAGGTGGGAGCATCCTCCAAACTGTCAAGTTGGTGTTCGTAGCGGTCAGCAGTAGCAGTTTCATTCGGGTCAGCAGCTCATAGTGCACAACACCCTTTTGATCCCCCCACCAAATGCACGCACAGCATTAATTTTTGGCAATGGACATTCCGCTTTCGTTGCAAACTCTCGTGTGAAGAGAAAACAAATCTCTTAGCAAATTCGTTCAGATGGGGCTTGTCCTCCATAAGTATCGAAAAGCGTTAGGTGGGCTTCAATGCCAGTTTTCTCGAAATCAAACAGTAGGAGTAGGGCCCTCGGNAAAACGGTTTATCACGATACATGTCCAATCAGTCTGAGGGCAACGGGATTTTGGGGAAAAAATGATCTGTCTGCCCTTGAGTAGGTAGCCTATACCCTGCTTTACAGAATATGACATCGGTGGCGGAAATCAATGCACACACCTATTAGTTAGCTCTTTGCGCAATTGCAACAACTGAAATCTCGTCCGAGTAGTCCTTCCACGTTATTTCCGTCATGGTAATCTCGACCAATCTATTTTTTCCTACTAAGAGGGAGTATTATTCTCTCGAAATTGGCGAACTTTCTCGCTTTCTTCACTACTGATAAACTATTCCTAAGCTATCCTTTCGCTATCCGACTGAAAAAGGGTCCTCGAAATTGACGTGAACTGTGCCTTTAAGTAGTGCGTGCGATAACACCGACGATGCTAAGACTGTCAGTTAGAATTTCGGTATGAAACTCAGACATTGTGTACGGACTGGTGGTCGCTTACCGGAGTCATATTCGAAAATGAAACATTTGAAATGTTGAGTTGTACGAATTGAATGTTTGGCGTATGAACTAAAATTTCCGATAAATTGATGTCGCTAAGATTTTTGCAACGTATGACTGTTTCTAAGGGTGTTTTTCAATCCTGTAGTAGTGTTAATAGTACAAGAGGTTTCCGATTGTAAGGAAATTAAGGCCATCAATTGCCAAATAAGATTGAAGGTTTAGTTATTATACTTTTGGGGGGAAACTGTCATATTCCCACATTACTACAACCTTACATTATTTTGAATACATAGAGGAAATAATGTGAGAAGTTGATTTCCGAGAGATGTCACTTCTAAGCTCTCAGTTTAATTAGTAAGTGGTTGAGTCATGAAATTACAAAGTAATTAAGGATGAATAGCGCGATTTGAAAAGTAAAGTAGTATAGGTGAGCGACCTGAATGGTTAGGGTGATATTGAAGTCAGTATTAATCTGCTCATGAACTAGCAAGTTATTTCAGCTTATCTACTCCGTTAATGGCAATTTTATTACGGAAATGATAAGGCGATGACTCTGAAACTCTTCGAAACTCATAAGTGAAGCCTCTCCATTCATAGTAGTATGAAGAAAGGAAAACGAAAATATGCTCCTGAGTTACTCATTCGAACTCTTTGGAAGCTCATCGACTTGGTCAAGAAGTATGACAGCAGTTATATTTCTCGGCCAAGCCTAATAGTCTTCAAATAGCTTCTGAATGAACAGTGTAGCGTCATCGGATATATCACACGTTTAGTTTTCGTTCGGAATCACAGGGACAACCGAATACTACTCAGAAACAAATCTTATTGAAAAACTGGTTTCAAGTCAGTATTATGGTCCAGTTATGTTTGGTACTTTTTACCCTTCACTAAAGAATGGAAGGTCAGTCTTCCTAGATAGCCTGAGCTGATGTTGTGACTTTTAAAACCTACAAATGGCAACGGACACTCACTAGACACTCTCTATGTTCACCTCACATTGAGCAATTTGTAAACAAATGTTGGAAGCAAGGCTGGTTTCGTTACCGATAGGTTCATCTGCTTAAATGTGCAGGGGTAGGGAATAAGCCATCGAAGTTATTCGGGAATGCACCTTCGTTCATGCTACTGTAGTAGTAAGAGATTGTAATGCAAAGTATTGATGGGTCGATCTTTTGTTCATTTAAGTTCATGCTGATTAGCTTTCACCCATTAAAAAGTTGCGAATATTTTTGATTCACTTATGCAAGCGCTTCACTACCAGTAGAATTAGGATATTGTTTGTTCTCGGCGACATGAGACTGTCCGTCCAGTCGACGTTCGGGGTGCGTTTGCTCAGCTGAACGGCGAATAGGGCGATATCAATGAGAAATGGTGAACACTACGTGTCGGGGGTATAGCTCAGTGGCAGAGCATTCGACTGCAGATCGAGAGGTCCCCGGTTCAAATCCGGGTGCCCCCTCAAGCTTTTGCATTGTTCGTATGATTTTATTACCAACAAAGTTAGGGGTCACTGTTAAGGTACAGTAGCAAAAAAGGCCTCTAGCGTTTCATAGCTGGGTGGTTTGTCCCAAGTTTCGACTTTCATCACGGTGGGCTACATGAATGAAGCTACGTAATGTTAGAAGCAAGGTTGGTTTCGTTACCGATAGGTTCATCTGCTTAAATGTGCAGGGGTAGGGAATAAGCCATCGAAGTTATTCGGGAATGCACCTTCGTTCATGCTACTGTAGTAGTAAGAGATTGTAATGCAAAGTATTGATGGGTCGATCTTTTGTTCATTTAAGTTCATGCTGATTAGCTTTCACCCATTAAAAAGTTGCGAATATTTTTGATTCACTTATGCAAGCGCTTCACTACCAGTAGAATTAGGATATTGTTTGTTCTCGGCGACATGAGACTGTCCGTCCAGTCGACGTTCGGGGTGCGTTTGCTCAGCTGAACGGCGAATAGGGCGATATCAATGAGAAATGGTGAACACTACGTGTCGGGGGTATAGCTCAGTGGCAGAGCATTCGACTGCAGATCGAGAGGTCCCCGGTTCAAATCCGGGTGCCCCCTCAAGCTTTTGCATTGTTCGTATGATTTTATTACCAACAAAGTTAGGGGTCACTGTTAAGGTACAGTAGCAAAAAAGGCCTCTAGCGTTTCATAGCTGGGTGGTTTGTCCCATGTTTCGACTTTCATCACGGTGGGCTACATGAATGAAGCTACGTGAAATTCCTCTATGATATTGAGTTTCTGTTCGTCCAATTTCGATCTTTCGATCTTCACTGGCTGAACTCAGATATTGCGATGCGATCGAACTTTGATTGATGTGCTTCATGCTATTTATTTCAATACAGAGTCTCAATCTAAAAAGTCCCTCCCTAACGAATTCTTTTTATCAATTTAGTGACCCCGGAAGAACGAGAGGCTATGTAAATGTGGGTATGATTTTGCTGGGCCCGTTATATACACCAAAGACAAAAGGGTAAGCTCAGTTTTGTCCAAAACCCCACATTTCCTTGATGAACATC